ATATGACAGACGGGATGTAAGTACCATTGCCATAAAACAGATGATGTTTGACCTTCTGTATAGGCTGCTGCGAGAAGCAATGAATGACCCTTCATTGAATCGATATTCAACTATCATCTTGGATGAAGCGCACGAAAGGACCCTCGCAACAGATATTCTAATGGGTTTGCTGAAAGAGATTTGTAGAAAACGGGTCGATCTCAAAGTCATCGTTATGTCCGCTACACTGGATGCAGAAAAGTTCCAAAACTACTTTGGATCAGAGACACGCCCTGCTCCCTTATTAAAGGTTCCTGGTAGAACACATCCGGTGGAGCTGTTCTACACACAAGAGCCCGAGCCTGATTATGTGGAAGCTGCTATTCGCACGGTACTATATATCCATCAAGCCGAAGAACCTGGAGATATCCTCGTGTTTCTGACCGGAGAGGAAGAGATAGAAGACGCCTGTCGCAAGATAAAGATCGAGGCGGATGAACTCACCAATCAAGACCCGACCATTGGACCACTCATGTGCGTTCCTTTGTATTCATCACTTCCCCCACAGCAGCAACAGCGGATCTTCGATGCTCCCCCTCCACCTCGAAAACCAGGCGGACCACCCGGCCGCAAGGTTGTTGTCAGTACGAATGTTGCCGAAACGTCTTTGACTATTGACGGCATCGTATACGTAGTGGACCCAGGTTTCTCCAAGCAGAAAGTTTATAATCCACGAATACGAGTCGAATCACTTTTAGTCTCTCCTATTTCTAAAGCTTCGGCCGCTCAAAGGGCAGGTCGTGCTGGCCGAACAAGACCAGGAAAATGCTTCAGGTTGTATACAGAGAAAGACTATGTCAAAGAACTGGAAGAGCAGACATATCCCGAGATTCTGCGGAGTAATTTGGCAAACACTGTGCTTGAGCTCGTCAAGCTAGGTATTAAGGTGGGTATGGGCCCTTTTATCAACTTCTAGAATGATTAAACAGTGCCTAGGATCTAGTGAGATTTGACTATTGTGACCCTCCGGCTCCTGAGACTATCATGAGAGCCCTGGAGCTGTTGAACTACCTTGCTGCCCTGGATGATGAAGGAAACTTGACCGCGTTAGGAAGTTTGATGGCAGAATTCCCTCTTGATCCGCAACTATCCAAACTTCTTATATCTAGTCCTGAGTTCGAGTGCAGCAATGAAATCCTGACCATCGTATCTATGCTCTCCGGTAGGCTCTATATCACTCTTCCCGACCCTTACTGATTTCCGTCAGTCCCCAATGTATTTTTGAGGCCTCCGAACCAACGCAAGGAGGCAGACGCCGCAAAACAACTTCTTACAGTACCGGAGGGAGATCACCTGACCCTATTGAATATTTATAACAGTTATATACAGAGTAAGGCTATCTAGTGTTTCATTCCAATAGCTAATGACAAACAGATAAAAACGATAAGAACTGGGCATGGCATAACTACCTTTCTGCACGTGCTTTAGCTCAAGCTGAAAACGTAAGGAGCCAAATCCTGCGGATCATGGAAAGATCTGAAATAGAGCTCACATCGCGAGCTATCGATGGGCCATCCTTCTACGACAACATTAGAAAAACACTCGTTTGTGGCTTTTTCATGCAAGTTGCTCACAAGACAGGAGAAAAGAGTGGCTATAAAACTGTGAAAGACAATCAGGTGCGCCTCTCTAGTCCCATATCCAATCCCATCCTATTAACTAAAGGACAGCTCGTCTCACTACATCCGTCATGCGGACTTGATACAACCCCAGAATGGGTTCTTTTCAACGAATTTGTCCTCACAACCAAATCATTCATACGTACTGTTACAACAATCAGGCCAGAGTGGTAAGCCGGGCATCCTTATTGCAGCATTAATTAATTATAACCATTTCAGGCTCCTTGAATATGCACCGAGCTACTATAATGTCAAAGAGTTCCCAGACGGCGAGACAAAGAGTGCATTAATACGGGTTTTCAACAAGACGTTGGGACGTCAACTAGGCACGAATACCGGAGATGAGCACCATAAGAGGAAGAAAAAGAGAGTTGATGAGAGTACTAGATCTAAGGTCTACACACAGAGTAAGGCAGGATGAGAGGTCGGCGGAAATTTGAATTGAGCTATTTTGTACCCTGCCTAATATCTCATGGCTACTTTGAATGCATCTTTGGTTGTGCCAATCCTAATCGGGGCGTTAATAGCCTTTCAAGGTCTCAGAAAGCGTTCCCTTTCTAAAGACGGAGCATTGACCGCCTTTCTCGTGGGTTCAACGATGCTGGGTGCTGAAGTTAAAGCATTCGGTGTTACCTTGCTTGTCTTCTATTTTATCGGGTCCCGAGCGACTCGTATAGGTAAAGATTTGAAAAAGAAGTATGAGGATGGCGTTCGAGAAGGATCTGGTCAAAGGGATGCTTTCCAAGTAGAGTTCATGCCATGCTAAATGGTTACAACACTTATACTCATCGTTCAGGTGCTCTGCAACTCATTACCTGCCTTCATTGCATGTTTAATGTGGAAAGGAATGTTCTCCCATTCAATCTTCTCCATATTCTTCGATGGACTTGGGCGCGACAGTCGCATTTATGACTCTGCCGCCACGTGCGCTTTGGCCCCTACCTACGGAGATGGTTGGAGTCGATTCTTGCTCTTAGTTGCATTGGGACAGTTTGGGTGCTGTCTTGGTGATACCTTGGCTTCCGAGCTCGGCATCCTGTCCAAGTCCAAGCCCATATTGATCACTACTTTCCAACGCGTTCCGCCCGGGACGAATGGGGCCATGTCTCTACTCGGAACGGCCGTCTCAATATTAGGGGGAGGAATAGTTGGGCTAACGATGGCTTTGGATCTCTGGGTTGAAAATTCAGCATGCAGGAACGTTGGTATTCCGGCCTTCCTAAATCTTGTTGTTCTGGGCTTAGTGGCCGGGGGTCTCGGGTCTTTGGTACGTATTCGCCATTTCTTTATATTTAATCGAGACTCATGTTCCGATGTAGATCGACTCTTTCCTCGGCGCTACAGTGCAGCAAACTCGCTATTCAACGACTACTAAGAAGATCCTTACAGATGACAGTGCTCCCCAACACAATTCGAACGTATCTGTCATATCCGGACTTAATATTCTTACGAATAACCAAGTAAGCAACATTCCCAGCCTACTCCCTGAAGATAGTCTGATCTCCTCGCAGGTGAATTTGGTATCTTCAGCCATGACGGCCGCATTCATAGCATTAATAGGATGAATGATCTAAACACAAGAACAAACAACAGAAAATGTCGTACAACTATGGTGGTAAACATATTCTGCTCGGTAACTCAGGAAAAACAAAAGTAAATAGTAGCATGGTATCCTAGCTCAGACATCCTCCCTCTTTTCCTTTACTACAGCATCCATCCATAATAGAACAGCATCGTGCAACATTTCTTCCCACAATTGTTCGCGTCTTGCAACGATTCCAGGATCGAATAAGTTTGGGCCACCCACTTGGCCGAGAGAGAAGTTGGTATGAGTAGGAGAGGTGGCCGGCGTATTTGCACGACTGTTACTGTTGTTACCTCCAAGGAGTTGTGACGGGGTCACTAGGGGTATCAAATATCGGAGTTTGAGTGCCCTAAGAAAGTATCAGGAAATGGCTTCCCTTAAAAAAAATTAAATCTCACGCGGCCCATAGTCTCAGGTTTTCTGTCCGTCGAAATGTCCACACTTGGGGTTTGCCACCTTTCTCACCCTCTTTGTCCCCATTCTGAGGACTAGCACCTTCAAGAGCAGCAACATCATGGATAGCGGCAGTGTTGATATAGCCCCAAGGTTTTCTCGATTTTCGTACACCTGTGTTATATGCCACACATAATAATTGTCCGGAAGATAGGGAGTTCATGAGGTTGGTACTGGTAAGTGGCTCAGAAGGCGGAGGTAAGAGATGTAAAAGCTCGACGGGCAAGAGTGTGACGAGGAGAGCCAGTGCTCGACCTAAACAATCGTTAAGAAGGAAAAAGGGGACTATTAAATTACGAACCTAATGGATCGTCCACAAACTCCGTTCGTTTCGCCCAATTGGGGAGATATTCGTCGTCAACTTCATTTGGTGAGGAAGGTTCTTCCAGTAGGGTATCCTCTTGTATTGTCATATGTTGCATATTTTCAATAAGGCCAGAGCGAGGACGACGCTCAGAGGTGTTATTGGGATTCAAGTCGGGAGACTGCCTGCCGCTGCTACTCCTGCTGGATGAACGACGATTATTTCTGAGCTTGTGGAGGGTTCGAGTCCAACCTCTTTCTTCTTCCACATTGTTCCCAGAGAATACTACAGAATCCACTTTGTCAAGGTATTCTGCAACCAATTGACGAGCAGTTTCCACTTCAGATAGTGAAACGTCGCTTCGGTAGAGCCATCCGCCACCTAACACCAGCTTTTCGTCCCACCGTTCCTTCCTTTCTGTCTCGGACTCATCGTTGAAGACGTCTTCCTCTTCATCCTCCCAAACTGTTATAGTTTTGTTTCGCCCTGGAATAATGAGTGTTGAGAAGTTGAAGGATGCCGTGGAAGAAGCATCATCCTCTCCTGAAGTAGCATGAGGAGAAAGGGTGGACCTCGTTGATCCCGATCCTTGATCTGAAGTTCCATCGAACGGATCCTCTGTCATGGGCAGCCTGTATTTCTCCTCAATCTCCTGCAAGGCTGTAAGCACATTCAAGGCCGAACGCCGTATTAGACTGAGAAGTTCGCGAGAACCTTCTTTGCGACGTGACGGCTTAGCAACCGGATTAGGTAGCCGGGACATCGTTTGAGGACGAAATGTCGGGACGTTGAGCGTCGTATCCGTATCATCGGGAAGAGCTACGAGATAATTCCGGACCGATTTTATGGCATTTATCGTTGACTGGAGAACCAGTAGAACGTCAAATGTTTCATGGTTGGTCAAGGCAGCTGCTGATGCTGATTGATCGCCACTCGCAGGACGGCCATTAGGCGATGAACTAGCTCGCCGTTGTTCTGCTGATCCCAACCCCCACAAGGACGAGACTCTCTCGAGATCTCCGACTAATGCAGGAAGTAGCTCTTCAGGGTCCGTATAACTCTTGACGGGATTTGCGAATGGTTGTCCAGTAGCTTGTGGCACTACAGGTGTTGGTGGTAGTTCAAATCGCAATTCAGGGATTCCATTAAGCGCAGAAGGTGTTCGCAAATGACCACCACCGATGGCAGGCACCAAGCCTTTGGCCTTGAACTCCGGCCTGGCAAGAGAAGGGGCTCAGCAAAGTTGATCGTAGCTATCCCATAGGGCTTACCTTTGCTTAGCAGCTAATCCGGCCTTGGTAAAGTAATACTGGAGGTGCTCTATTGAACCAAGAGCCAGAACACTCTCCCGCTTGGCAGCGCTTTTCGAGAAAGGTTTCGTATTCGAAGTCTGAGTGACCACTGGATAAAATGCCGTTTGACGGCGAGATTTCTTGACCTCTGCGGAAACTTGCTGCTCGTCGGACATGATCGCTGGCAAGGATCCGTGACGGACAACCCTGCACGGGGCTAACGTCGCCACCAACACCACCACGTGCACATTTTCGACAGCCAAGCAATATGAGCATAACTAAGGATGAGGTCTATTCAAGCGATAATACATTGGTCAGATTGCTTATTTCCCTTCTTTTTTAGCTCTTCAAACTTTTCAAAATCACCGGTCCGTCTGTGCATAGTTTCCATTTGAGCCATCCACTTTGAGTCGAGCTCTTCTCTGGGCATTTCCCCTTTTCCACCGTCAATAAGATTATCTGGGTCATTATCCGGTGTGTATGGTGTCCCTTGCTGAGTGACCAGGTATGTGGCGGCATCCGCTTTGGACACCAACCAGTTGCAATCCTTGAGGTCTTGTGTCCATTCGGATGGTAGATTTGAGTATCCAAACAATGTTCCTACTAAGGAACCTGCTACAGCAGCGTTTGTATCAGCATCTCCAGCAGCCATTGTCAAGTCCGTAATGACCTTCTCGAACTGCTGGCGAAGGATGGAGCTATTCAAAGAGCCTTCTTCTAGCACTTTGACTCCTTGGCGCAAACCCCAGACCCCGGCTGCCAGGCATTTTAGAGTATATCCAATGGCACTGTAAAAGTATTAAACGTCAAGTCATAGGAACAAGGAAAGTAAGAACCTTCGATCATCCAAATCCATTTCTTCTAGAGTGTCCTTCCAAATGATCTCCTGAAGCTCCCTTATGTGTTCATCTGAGATCGGTGGATCGTGTTTCTTCACAGGTTCGAGAGCAAGTTCAACAACTCTACGGATGTCGTCTTCATTATGTATTTCATCCCGAATTGTCTGCGGTTATATTCAGTGAGTATATCTTCCCATTCATTTGACGTACCGCGGCAACCAAGGCAGATGCGACGGTACATGAAGCCATGCATCGAGGATCGGCATGAGTGGTCGCAGCGACGTTGATGGCCGCTGAATACAAGGCATCCTGGTTTTTATAAAGCAATACCCCAATTACAGGTGTTCGCATAAGTGCTCCGTTTGCTGCCATCACTCGACCACCATTCTCCCACACCCTAGTTAGACGACCGAGTAAATTCAGTGCACCTCCATGGAAATCCAATCAACTTACTCTGTTGATCTAGCCACGGGATCGTCCAAATATTTCTCGCTCCTCACTACCGAGCCTACAGTCCTTCCGAGCCCCAGTGGAAGTCGGTTGAGAGGCCTAAATCCATACTGAACCCAGAACTTCAACCTGGCGGCGAAATCAAGGTGATCGATACCATTTTGGTTCCCTCCATTGTGAAGAAAAGACATGAGGATCAGTAAGGACTGGTCCGTATCGTCTGTCCATCCAGCCTCGTCGAAGATTCCTCTATGACGGTCCATATGCATGGTCTTGTAACCTGTAGGTGCAGGTGGTCGAAGTTTAAACTTTGGATTGGCTCCATAGTGCTCCTTGGCTTGCTCAGTACTCATAAACTCGGTAAATAAGCCCACAGCATCTCCTAGTGCTCCTCCAACTATACAGCCACGAACTCGATCTCTTATGACCTCCATCGGCGTTTTGAGTTTCCAGAAGCCTCTCAGTTGAGGCTTAAGGTTAAATTTTAGAAGTTTTAGGTGTTCCCCAGGAAGGAGCGGTCTCCAAGGGGTGCGCATCTATTAACTCATGACCACCACCTGCCATTCACGGCAACTAAACATATTATGACAATGACGAACACTACTTGGTCACGAAGTCTTGATATGTCTCTGCACACCCTCCAACCACTTCTGTTGCTCATCAATATCTCCCAGTCGTCTCCATTTCCCGCCATCAAGGGCCTTGTCCTCTTCAAACCGTGGCAGATACCTGCTTCTCGCTTTGTGGTGATTCGTGATGACCCACCAAAGGATGGATTTAGAGGAGAAGAAGCATTCGGTCCATGATTCCTTGCAACCAGGCGAGCATGGTTCTTGTATTCCGAACAGTCGTCGGAATGTGCGCAGCAGGACTCTTGGGAAATATTTGTAGAAGGGAGGATCAAGCCCTATGAAAACCGATTCTAGGACTCTTTTACAGTATAGGGGCATACGAGGTACCTACATATCAAGTCCGTCGCCTCAAAGTCCATTATACGTTTGGTGCAGTTCTCGTAGTTGCCATCGACGATCCATCCAGTGTTCGAGGCTTTCCCTCTCTCAATTATGACTCTGAGTTCCTCTACCATCTCTTCATCTGGAGCTTCTGTCCAGTTTGGACGCCAATGAATTTCATCCAGATGGATTACAGGTAGGTTGAGGACCTGGCCGAGCCTGTCTGAAAGAGTTGTTTTGCCTGTTCCGGAATTTCCGTGAATGACAATACGAAAAACTCCGTTTCTATCTCCATTTAGAGGTGGGACATTGGTGGACATTTCGTGGCTGGGACCAAAATTCTGTTACCTTTGTCAAGAAAAAAAAAAGTACGGCATTGCAAGGACAACGGCACGCAAGACGGAACCGTTGATGACTCAGTGCAAGAGTAGATGGGTTGGGTAATTTTGGCCTATGACAGTAAAGTTCTACTACAAGCTCATCTATACATACACTGGAATTTATCTTTTCGTAATGCTATTTTCATTCATTGACTGACAGTATCTGCTGGAGTTTCTGGTTAAGATCTTGAAAATTTATTACTCGCCTTTTCCCCCATCAAACAAGTTATCTGGATCATTTTCCCAATCATATGGAGGTCCTTGACGTAGGATAAGGAAGGTTGCGGCATCCGCCTTGGACAGGAGCCAATCGACATCACTCAAATCCGTTTTCCACTGAGCAGGAAGACTCGAATACCCAACTAATGCTCCCAATAGTGACCCAGCAACTGCACCATTGGTGTCACTGTCTCCACCTGCCCAACTTAAATCTGAGATGGCATTCTCAAACACTCGCGGCAATTCGTCAAGTTTGCTTTCTTGAATAGCCCTTACTCCTTGACGTAGAGCCCAAATACCAGAGGCCAACGTTTTATAAGTGTAGCCAATTGCCCTGGGATAACGTCTTTAGTTCGTGAATGACCGAAATAAAGTGGAGCCAAACCCTCGTTCGTCCAATTTTATTTCCTTCAGAGAGTTCTTCCATATAATATCTTGCAGCTCGGTAAGGTTTGCCTTGGATAGCGGGATTTTCCGCTTCTGGATTGGTTGAATCGCGGCTTCAACTATCCGTCTTATGTCGTCTTCCGATGCCACTTCGTTCCTG